GCGAAACTAAGCTAAAAAAATGCTAGATCACTTAATGTGGTTACTTTTATTGTTCTATCAGTGATTGGAACGAATCGACCGGTCTCTATTAGCATTTGGGCTCCTGTGCAGATGCCTCGGTAGTGTCCGGGTGTAAGTCTTGGTGGGAACAACACCGTTCACTAGGAGGTAGGTACGCTACTAGCCACTATCTCCCATTAATATAATAATGCTGGGTCACGGTTACAATGAATAGAACATTTCTACAGCTTTAGAGATATATGATCATAAAATCCTTGTCTCTGTCGACAATTCCTAAATACTATAAGGTAGTAGTATGTTCATACGTTAGAACTATCAACCTTTTTACAGCTAATGGTTAGCTAGGGTTGAATGGTTTAAAAGTAGTTCTTATCATAGATAGGCATCAGTTGTGGAACCACTTATAACAATTTGCTTTTCCTAGCTCAAGACTCTTCAGTAGTGAGCAACAATGCCCCTGTGACAGATTTATTTAAGACCATTAAGTCTAGTTATAATCACGTTAAACTTCATCCAGTGGCTTGAAATTTAGTGACACATACTTTTTCACTTTTGTTAACTCGAGATATAGTGTAACCATCATCCAGCGTAACAAGTGAGTTTTTGTCTTAATATCCGAATTTTTTGACGACAACCCTCATAGGCTTTCAGTGCCAATTCATTAAATCTATATCAAGATAAGTCATTCATGAGTACTGGACAATATTCAGGAAGTGACATTTCGGATGTGAACTGATAAGCAGTCCCAAAGTAGGACGAAATTGACGTTCACCACTGCCTGATTTTCAGCGTTTCTTAAACTGTTTTCAATGCATGATGAGAACAACTTTATTAGCATTTGCATCTGCATCTGTAAACTATATTTAGAGTAGTTGTGATTTCTGCTATCAACGTACGATTCTCAAGGTGGAGAAATCTTGATAACCATATCGAAAATAAATATGACGTTCAGACAACTCGCATAAATACAGCGTTAACCAGTGTTAACAAATTATTCATATGCATTTAAAGAAGCTACATTTTTGCCATCAGACACTCTCATCACTGTCAGTAGCATCTGGATGCTAGTCTACGTTATAGTTGGTTCTGACAGTCTTATATTTTTAGAATTTAATCGGTATGAAGTATTAATTTATTTGGTGATGGCTAGCAGAAGGATCCAGGACGCGTGTTTCGTTATATTTAGGACTCGTCAGCCGGATGTATCAGCAACTTTAGTGAGTGGTGTCGTTCTCACTAAAACTCGGACCTCATACCCATCCCTTCAAACGCCAAAGCGTTATCCACTAGGCCACTGAGGCATGCTAGTCACGTCATGTACAACGGGTAATGGTTAATATTGTTTGTTGATGCTTTCAATCATCCGTTGTTTTACTGGGTAGAATCGATGAATCTCTGTTCGCATTTAGACTCCTATGCTGATGCCTCGATATTCCCTAAATATTTACCATTATAATTTAAAGGAGATGGCCATCGTGCCTGAGTGACCTAGAGGATAAAGCTTAGGAATTTAAAGCAATGAGTCCCAAATAGGGCATAATGTGTGTCCCATATTACTCCCTCAGCCACAACCAAGTGAATTACAACAATAACCACTCAGCAATATTATGGCATCTAAATAGGAGTTCATATCTCAACAGAAATCGATCAGTTCGATCCAGTATAACAATGAAGAATTTGAAGTATATCAATAAATAGTAGTATGAAGTAATGTCAAAAAATTGAATTTTTGGACATATCTGTCTTATTTTAAATATACAGTTAGACTGAAATCAAAATGAGTTCCTCATTTTGAAGAAACCTGTCTCTGTGCTGAATCCAACCTCTGTAGATGCCAATTTTGGAGTTCTTTGTGAGAATATCAACTCTGTTGCGTCATTTCAGTAAAAAATGTTACGTCGTATTTCTAATTAAACCCGCTTGTGAAAAAAATCGTATTTTGCGATTTCTTGGTGGATAATATCCAATGGAAACCGTGTTTACATCAAAGGCTTTTAGTTTCAAAAGTACTCAGCTGACAAAAATGTTAGCATGGACCCTACAATCTGTCAATAATTTATAAAATGGGTCCTGCAAAACATCTAGGCCATAATCTGTGATTTGTTTGATACGCACATTGATGTCATCGTAGTGAGTAAAACAAATACACGACGTGTACATTCATACCAACCAGCAGTGTTCAGTAGGCATTTTGAGCAAAAACTAATTTAAAAGTATAATTGTTTGATGCAGCTACAAATGGCAAGGTGGCTATCCTGTTTAGATCACTAATATCTAGTGAGTGAACACTGCTGAAAGGTGTATGCGGTTCCCAACTACTCATTCAGTCAGTTATGCGTATCGTATAACCCTTAGTGTCTTTTCCAGTTGACGTGATTCACATGATATTTGTGTAAAACTACTACCACTTTTATAGCTGTGTGCCCAAAAGAAATCTAATTATATCTTGTAACTCGTACTTGACAAATCTGCAATTTTCGTTTGTTGGAAGAAGGGATTTAAAGGCAATTTTTCCGATAATACAGTGTAGTGGAGGCTCTCAAATTATATTGGATGTACATTCTTTGGACTAGCACTGAGATTTGTAATCCTCTTATCCCTAAATTTGTCCTGGCAGCTTGAAAGAAAAACCTACATGCAACCATTCTATGAGAGGGTATCGGTTCGCCAACTCTTGTGAAACCAGATACATGATTTGTTTAACGTAAGTATTACTCAAAAGTATTCAAAGCACTATCCCATGCGGTTTCATGAGGATAATAGTGGATCGTTATAAAATGCTTTATTTAATCATGTTGTCAATGCACATCAGAATCTCTTTAATCAAAGTCATTTATAAAGTGAGTAGAAACCTCCCTAAGTGACGCATGTATTCATATTCTCTTCATCACCGAAACTTTTGTCATCGATATGAATAATCTTAAGCTTCATACAAAAAAGAAAACTGTCCCACCCGTCTTAAATGATGCATTCTGTTTGAAAGTGCCTCCTACGCATTTCATTATTCATTCTTTTTCTATGTTCTTTCTGATTATACCTGAGTTACACAACTTCTTTTCCAAAGTTGGTAACCTATAAACGATCCCCGTTACAGTTTGATCAAGTTTAACCACACTAAACAATTTTAATTATTTCATGTTGTAAATGACAGTGCATATATTGACCTTCTTCTACGCTTGTCATCTCGTTTGACAGACCACAGTTAACTATAAAATTCTATGTAGATATTTACACACGAAGAAAGATTGCAAACGTTTGCAATTATTTAGCTTTGAAAATGAAATCAATAAGAACAATCTCGCCGTTGAAGTACTTGGTCTTCTTCTTTCAAACGATAGCTAAATAATCAATTTTGTTTTACTTTAATGAATTTCGAAGGCAGTCAGTTAGTGCTTTATGAGCCTGTATTATAAAAATGTTTAAATAATAAAGGAAAAGCGATCGAATAACCTTACTCTTCAGTTCAGAAATATCGATTATGTTATGAATCATATAAGGTGATTTAATAATCTCAAGGTCGCTTCTCCAGTAGTTATTACAACTCCACAAAAGTTATTGATCCTTCTATAAAAATTAAAGTGCAGTTTGTGATATCATCTGATGTGAGATCAAATATTCAGTTTAACTAACGTCCTTTTAATCGAAATTATTGATCACTTCTTAATGTAAATCTGATGCATAACAGAAAACCATATTAATAATACTTAGAAATTGAGTTAAAGCTGGGTATTTAATCTTCATTTGCATATACAAATATGCAGACCATGTAAAGCATTTTAGATCGTTTCGTAAATGCATTTATTATAAGAAAGTAAATATTAAATGGAAATGATTATTTACTTAGGATGAAGTCTTATGTATAGATAATATTTCTTAAGTGAATTGAATGAAATAAGCTCCAAAGAATAGTCGAATTGTGAACTTGATATAAGGATAATAATGTTTACCTTAGACAGAGAGAACTAATAATACAAAATCAGTTTGAAATTATTCAAGGATTTAAGTTATTGATTTATATACACTGAAATATTTTGAAAATAGATTAAAGCACACAAATAGATAGTTGTTGAGTTAACAAGAGACAAAGAATTGTTTATCGATATTTCATGCCAATTTTAACTTCAATTACGCATTCACTAGGAATGAACTACGCAGCTTAGAGAACGCAATACAACCAAGAATTAATGCGCTGAAAAATTGTTTCAGAATTAATAAAGGTGACTTGAACGCTCAGAATGACTTATGCTTCAACAAAATTTAAAATACATCTTCAATAGTTACAAATATTAGTGAAACGTATAAATATATAAAGTGGATATAAAAACGTCATTTAAGTCCATTTACAAGACCCTTTGGAGGAAGTACTTAAAGTTTGTTGAAGCAGTAGCCATCAGGAAGTTTAAGCCGACTTTATGCGTTCAAAAACCTCAAATGCAGTCTTGATACAATTAGTGCTGAAAACAACCAAGACTTTCAATTGTTCAAGTCAAGAAAACACACATTTTCTTCACAGAATGTTGTCGTTCTATGAAATAAAACTAATCGTACTCTCTTGGTATATGAGCTCCTGGAAGAAATGTCTGAAGTTTTACTTTGGTATTACTTGCTTGAAGATAGTCATCAGTGGAGTCTAAAGACGCATATTTCTTCCTATTTGGAACTCGTCAGCAGGATGTACCTGCACCGTTGTGAGAGGTGGTCTATCTACAGGTAATCGAACCCATCATGACTTATGATACAAACTGATCATCCGAACTTTAATAAGTGGGAAGGAAGGAGGTCAAAACATGTGGTTCACCGATTAGGAGTCTAGCCTTACTTTTATGCTTGGCGTTTAACGAAACAATAATTATCATTATAGCGAGTAGAATCAATACTTCATATCCCATAAGATGGAAAATTGATTTACACAAAGTGTAAACTATGCGAAATATGTAGCTTAGCAGACCCACACAGTCAAAGAAAACATTTCACTTGTATTATTATTTAGTTTTATGCTTTTATTGATAAGAATAACTCAGTTTAGAAAAAAAAATCAATGAATGAATATTCTGCAAATTTGAAATGGGCATTTATGTCGTACATTTCTATGTATACTTAACTCTGCATATACTTTTTTTGGAGCAGAGATCAGTATTTCCCATGATAGTTCGTTTATTGCCTAATAGTTTGCTCACTAGTTACTTATATTAACTCAGCTAATATTTTGTTTGAGCAAAGTGTTGACATTTGTCTCAGGGTTCAACAGACGAAGAAGTTAAAAGGAAAGCAGTAAAACCCTACTGCCAAAATGGAAGATTTGATCTGTAGCTTACAAATAGATGAAGTCATATAACACAATAAAAAATATCAACAATGAAATGATGCTATAGCGGTAGTGTTTACCACACAACAGTGTAACAGAACAAAATGTTCAATATAAAGGAAAATAATACGACAATCTTTGTTTATATAATTCACAAAGCCAACACACAAACATACCTACAACAGGCACAAGACTTGCACTCACTTTTCACCTCAGGTCATAATAATGTAATTAAAGAAGGCATGAAAATATTTATGTAACAAAATGTCGTACATAAAAAAAACAGTAGAATCAACAGTAATGACAATATGCTAACTGAGAGTAAAAATATTCTTTCTCTGCTGTTGAAACATTGAACAAAACATATTGAACAAAGGACAATAATAGTAGCAAATAATTGATAATAATGAGAGGAATGGTAGAAGAAAAGATAAGAATAATCACTTTATGACAAGTTAAGGAATTTAGCACACATACACACACACACAGACACACTCAAAAATAGAGACAGACAATGGGAAATTGTAAAAGAACGCGAATGAATGAATAAATAATGAGCGTAAATGCCTGATACAGACAATGAGAAAAATAACGTAATAGAAGCAATACAAAATGTTAGACAATAGTCATCAAAAAAAACGAAAATTTTATAATCAATCAACAAAAAATAAAGTCAGGTGAGTTTCGGTGGACAGACAGGGGACAGATCAGGAGAGAGAGAGAGAAAAAAAACAAATAAAAGTATACGTATCAAGAAGTTGAGTCGATCACAGAAACTTAAAATAAACGATTCCATATTTCGTTTTTCTGGTTGTTTCAAATACTATCGAGAATCCATTAATAGTTTAAACTCGTTCCAAATACTGTGTTAATCCATCCATGAGAAGACGATTTTTCAAACGACACAATTCTTTAGATAAACGATCAATATCATTAACTTTATCATTCAATTCTGTTTCAAGAGTTAGTGTTTGCGATTTAATTGTAGTGATAAGACGGTTAGCATCATTTAGCATTGAACGTAAAGCTATATAATTTAAATAAACGACAGTGTCGGAGGTCAGTGTGGATGAATTATAGTCAAATACATGAAGAAAAAACACGTTATTAGATCCGATTTTAAAATCTTTTTTTATAAATATTAATAAACAACTTAATAAGCTATGAAACATGGATAAAAACTAAAAACCAATTCCATTATATAACAACTGCTGGAGCTACAGATATCTTTCACTGTGATAGCTATATTGGTATTTTAATAGTAACAATATTATAAGAAGATCAAAAACTCATTATGACAATATTTTAGTCAGATTTTAATTGGGATTGTGAATTCAAAATTATCAAGGGTACTGGAGATTTACTACAACAGATGGAAACCTGAAAAGTGCAACATCATTCAGTGGCATAGTCACATCTTGTTATTCCATAAAACAGTTTCATTTACTGGATAACTTTTCACGAATAATTTAATGTCCATATTCATATCAGGTAACTCTGAAACTTTTAGACTTAGTTTATATGGTCCTAATTTTCTCCCCTTTTTTTTGATGACAAGGGTAGCAGAATTTTCCATATATCTAGAAGAGGTCCAGAATTATTTCTGTTGCATGTATTTGGCGTGGATTCGATAAACAAAGATAAATAAATTATAAATGAACTTATGAGAGACCAAAGGAAAAATATTAACAGTAGTAGTAGTAGTGATAAAAAAAAGGTATCAATAATAATAACTCTATTACTAATAGTAACAATGGTGGTGATAATGGTGACAAGGTTGAGAGAGAATTCAAAGCGTCTGCTGATTCATCAAACAAGGAAGCCATCTCAGAAGCATTGCGAGGAATTCTCAATAAGACTGAGATTGAAGTAGCATTTAAACCAACAAATTTCATAAAATCGTTGGTTATGTTGACATCTTCAAGTTGTTGGCTATATTCATCAAAGTATGATAACAACTAGAAAACCTTAAACAAGACAAAAGCTAAATTGTTCCGTGCAAAACAGCGGTGACATCTGTAGGATGTCAAGGTCTCTAACCTAAGAGTGGCAACATACTGCAAAAAGAACACTAGGTTACACTACTTATCTCCAAGACAGCATAATATTATACATCAGTGAATACTCCGTTTTCTAAGAAAATATATGTTACTATGTTCTGAAATGTTTCAAATTAATTTATCCTCAGTTATCAAGGCTAACTTACTTGTTGCAGCATTTCGCCTTTTTAAGAAAGTCCATGAAATAAACCATTGCAAAGATTACTCTTTCTTTGAATTTTACTGCCACTCAATAATTTAGGAGGGCAAAATGGGCATTAAGAATATGTACTTCTATGTAAAAACTTCGTTAGCACTACTAGGATGGAAGCGATGAAGTAGCAAGTCATATAACTCAGGATTCCCTTCAACTGTGTAAATACATGAATTTTCTTTCACCTCTCTTGTGAAAAACGCACAGTATATCATTATTTTCATATGGACCTTATTATCGAAGCTCAAACGATTCTAGTAGGCTCATAATATCTTTCTCTTTTCTTGTATATTTCATCATTTTTCTTTATTTGTTTTCCTGTTCTGTCCTCAGGTCGTTTTGAAGCGTAGAAGAGTTTACGAGACACATTTTGCCTCACATTCTGGTTGGTGCTGAAACATACACACATATACAGGTCGTACTAATTCTGATTAGACTTGATAGCTAACTGGCACACTACATCATCTTCCCTAATTCTACAAGGCATGTAGATCAACGTAGAAGTTAGAAGTAACAGTCATCACCATCATAATCGTACCAATCGTTTAAAAGTGCATTGCTAACATCCATGAACAAGGAGTACTGACCTTCATTTTCAAGTCTCAAGCCTTCATCTTCACCAGTACCCATAATACCTGGAATTGAAATGATAAGAAGTCATGTTAGTATACAATCTTCATGAGGCTTGAATCAACACAATTTAATTCATTATGAGGACTATATGGTGACTATTCCATAGAATAAATTCTAGTCAGCTAATATGAAAGAGATATCAGAAAGCAAGAGTAAAGCTGAAAATCAAGTAAAATTTCGTTAAAAACGATATGTGAGAAAAAACAAATTCACCCAATAATTTAGGTAATCAGTTGAAGTAAACGGTAGTAAGGATATCACTTGTTGAAGGTACTACTAAAATGACTAGTGTCCAGCACAGAACATAAAAGCACCAGTTGTGTGAAACAGGATGAGTAAAGTGAGACTAGAAACTAGACTGAATAGGGTATCATTCATCTTCTTCCCTTATTAAACCTACACACAGTGAGAACAACAGTAATGGTAGGATAGCGCGGATTCATCTTATTTCAAGGATCCTCATCAGCTGCTTGCAGTCTAAAACAGTTTTATTATCAAATTCTAGGAAACGTTTCCAGGTCTGAAACAGTTTGATAAAAAATTACCAACTTGGGGAAGCACAGACGCAGCTTTTTATCACATCATTTGATGTTTAGGAGCTTTTAACTTCGAAACCTAACGACACTCCATTCGAACAATGGAATATGATAAGATGAAAAAACAACTTCAGTTTCGATCAACTTTCATTCTTCTGACCGTTTGACAACATTTTCTTGCCAATTGAGTCCAAATTTAACATGCGTAGCAAAGTTTACGAAGTGACGTGAATGGTACTGTCGAATGATCGAAGTCCGCGAATAATACCTTAATGTATCACATGTTTACAATAGTAATACAAAGTTGAAAACTTATGAATTCTGTAGCCTTTACTAATACATACACTAACCTTTTCATCAAGAAATCTTGCATATATGAATACGTTTGACTCCTATAGTAGGACTCAAAAGTGTAAGACAGAATGTATCACACTCAACTACTAGTCGTCAACCCATTTTTGTGGGTCACGAAAATATAACATCAAATATACCCTTCATGCAATCGAGTCTTGTCATGACGACGAAAATTTATTCAATCTTATTGTTTCTCAGCACAAATTAGAACTGTTATACTGACCGAAGAAAGGAAAACAGAGATCTTAGAAAAGCATAGTCGACCATACTATTTTATTTGTTTTAAAAGTCATTTCACATGAGACTCATTACTGTATAGCTCAGCCCAAAAGCTTTTGGGCTCATGAGCACTAAATAACTGAATGTTAAAAACACCCAATTATTATGCACAAATCCATTTTTCATGCATAAAATCAGTTATTTCATCTTCGTGAAGTAAAGTGCTACACAGGCAAATAATTCAGTTGGATATCTGCATGACCCGGAGCACAAAGAAAAACAATGATAGTAAGCATCTGTCTTCTGTTGTATAGGTGGCTTGAAAGATAAATCATGTGACTAACCTATGGGGGAATTTTGTATACAACGAATGGCGACCATATGAGCAACTGATCACGACGCGCTCACATATTGCTATAGACAAGTAAAAAAGTCTCTCAAACAACTTTACCACTTTTTATTTTAAACACAAGTAACTTAAACTCCTACTGTGCTACTATTTCACTGAGATACATTATCCTTTTTTTTTCGTCAACTAAAAGTATTAAATCTAGTACACAGTGTAGGGGAATTTACAGTTTAATATTTGGTTTACTTCAGGTTCAACTGTGTTAACTGAGTAAGTTGTCTGTTGAAAGATATAACTGTGTTTGGATTTTAGATAATATAATTTAAGTGGTTTGAGCCATGTGGGGCGATGTAGACTACGTGGTTGGGGTCCGCAGAAGAGAAACGAGAGGTTGGAGACTCTAGGTGACATGGCTCAGAACCGAAGTCAGTGGTGCAGATGTATACACACATTATCATCATCTTAAGGACGCTATACTGAATCTCACCATTTTCTCATTCTTCCTTTTTCTCTTTTGGTACTTCATATTTCTGTCAACTGAATTTTCTTATCTTCATCTTCCCCTTCACTGCCTTTTTACTTGATGTACTGATTTGAGCTGTGGAAACTAGGATCCTTACACAGTGACGTCTGGTCCTACGTTGATTTGGATGGATGGATGGTTCCACATTCACTTCTGTACCCGTTAGAAATTCTCATAATTCGAAGTATAAACAACACAGATTGGTGTAAGTTGACTGCAAGCAAAACCGTAGTTTTTTCCGGAAAGTAAAATCTTGTCACATTCCAATGTGCTCTTCACTCAGTACCACTATTTACAAAGGTGGTAGGACATACACTACTAAACGACATCAGAAGTTATTAGTCACTAACCAGCCAGATTGACCATATCCCCCCCAACATTGTAGTCTATCAGTATTAGTGTATTCACAAAACTACAGTTAAGTTAACTGAACTATTCAAAACACGATAACCCTAGCCCTTTTCACTAGTTGTGGTAGCTTTGGCATCTTGAATGATGACTGAATATTAATCAGAAATAATAGCACATTAAAGTATAGGTTTGACGAGATACACAATGACTACTTAACTGTACGCTTAGACGAAGTACAATTGGAGAACAGAAGAATAAACAAAATTACAAACTGCTTACTTTTAGATCGTCCAGAAGCAGCACTCCGATCGGAACCACGGCGAGGTTTATTAATTTCACTGAATCCCATTGTCTCTGATGTGTCACCAGACATAGCTGAGGCAGTTTCAAATTCTGCATCTTCAACAGGTTGGTGACGTGAAGCAAACATGGGTTCTTTACTTGCTGACATGCCGTTAACTGGCTGACTCATTTTGTTATCTCCATTTAATTTTGACGACGTTTCTGTTGGTTTAGTTGTTATCCTAGACAAACCAGGTGGCCTTGTAACCTCACTACGTTTAAAAGATGGCACAAATTTAGGTGTATTATCATGTGAAGTTACTTTTGAATCACCTAGTTCCGACTCACCGGTAGGACGCCCTTTTCGAGACACAAAACTTTCACGATCATTATTAGTACTTACTGTGAAATAAAAGGAAGATTTAAAAATGACGTCAAGAATAATTTGAAATATCAAACGGTACAGTGCATTTCAAGTAAACTGAACAATACTTTTCTGTCAAACTCTCATTATCATTTTCAATCAACGAAGTTTCCAAAGTACCCTACTTTCTGAGTTAAGAAACGACAGTCTACTAAGCTGTCCGTCTCACAAGTGAAAAGGTTTACCCATACAAAATCGATTTGGAACGAACGACTTACGAATTTTCATAGTTAAATGTCTTCAGACATCAAATGAAATCTGATTCCCCCTAATGTGCCATTGAATCCATATTTTCTGCAGTCCTAATACTCTGGAAGATGGACTTAATTTTCTCAGAAATGTTCTGTTTGAAAACCAGTTTCCTAAGCGTTTCACTGCAAAACCTACGAAACTGAAACTGCTCCAAAACGTTTTTTCACGAATTTATGGTTTAGATGAAACATTAAGAAACCATCTGGTATGTTCATTGGGGAAGACTTTCAATGATGCCGAATCATAACTGACTTTCTTCACTAAAATCATATTCCGGTTATGCGTAAACGGTAAGCTCCCTTCCCTGACTATATTCATGTGTTTATCACTTCATCAGCTCCTTCAGACTAAGGTAGATTGGATGCACTCACCATCTGCGTCCTTGGCATGTGGCGTCGTCATATAGCTGTTGAATGAGGTTGATAAATGTTTGTGGCACTGAAACCGTAGTGTTGAAGCAACTGCATGCCACACTACTTCTCGGTCGACAATGACCAACGCCTTTCCAAAATCGATGAAGTTCAGGTTGAGTTGAGTTGACTGCCATTCTATACTCTGTTCTATGATGATACGTAGCGTAGCATTGCAATTTGGTCCCACATGATTTGTATTTCCTGAAGCCAGCCAGCCAGCCAGTCAGCCTGTTTCGGTCGCAATTTTGAATACAGAGCCTTTTAGTCTCTCCAGGAGGATGCGCCTAAATATTTTGCTTGGTGTGGACAGGAGAATGATTCCGCACCAGTTCTTGCAAAGACTTAGTTCTCCCATCTTTGGAGGTCTGACAAGGTATCCCCTCTTCAAGTAGTCAGGTACCTTTACTTCCTTCCTTCCTTCCAAACCTTTTGTAGTAGTGGTGTGAGCGTGTCCATTGTTGTCTCTGAGTCTGTTTTAGTGCTTCCGGAGGAATTTCATGTGGTCCTGCTGCTTTCCCGGATTCCAGCAACTTTATGGTGTTCAGGGCTTCACTTCTGCTTTTGTCGGAGGGTTTGTGTTCATTGATGGTTCTGGGGCTGGGCTGGGCTGCTGCTGGTGGTCGATTCAAGAATTTTTGAAGTGGTCAGCCCATCATTTCCCTTGTTTCTCCTTTTTGTTAACTAGGTTTCCTTCACTACCTTTCATTGGTTTCGTCTGAGTTGATCTCTTTCCCGATAGTAGCCTGGTTATTTGACATAATGTTATGAAGTCTCTTCTACCTGCAGTCTGTTCTGTTTCACTTGCCAGTGTGTCGATGGAGTATCCTTTGTCTTTCTGTGCACTCTTCTTCACTTCTTTGTCCAGTGTTCTATAGTTTGTGCTCATTTCCTTTTTTTCGCACTGGTTTATCTTCTGCTTCACCACCACCATCTTCCTCTCGTCTATCAGCTTCCATGTGTCCGTGAAGATACATCGCTTGTGTTGTTTCTTCTCCCTTCCTAATACAGTTATGCAGGTTTCTTTCCACATAGCTTTCACAGAGTTGCAATGTTCTTCCAAGCAGGTTCCTTCAGGAATGTTGCTCAATGTCTCCCATTTCTGTCTGATAGTTGACTGATGTGAAGATGTCCTTTGTAAATTCGTCCTTCAGTTCAGTTTCTGTTCTGGGCGTTGAGCTTGAATTGTGGTCTATCACCAACTACCTTGAAGGCTTTCAACTTGATTTTGAAGGAAGGTCCCTGCACTAGATAGTAAGTGGCGTGAACCTACATCTGCTCCTTTTCTTGATCTTGTGTTCAGTAGACTGAGTCTCCACTTTCGTGAGGTTGAGATGAAGTCAGTCTGATTTTTAGTGTAGTATGTCCTGGTGTCTGGTGAAATCCATGTCGCTTTGTGAATATCCTTGTGATTGTACAAATTGCGTCGAATCACCAGATCATTAAAGGCGCAGAAGTCTGCAAACAGTTTACCATTTTCACTCTCCATTTCACCGAGTGACTCTTGACCCATGGTGAGTTCTCTTCCTTTGTTGTCCGCTCCCAGTTTGGCATTTATGTCAACCAACGCATTAGAATTTTGATGTCACCAACTGGGGTGGGGTCTTGTCCATTACTGATTGCAAATGTCTGTAGAATTCCTCCCTCATCTCTTTACCTGCATTATTTGTAGGTGCATAGTGTAGCATTGTAAGATTATGACTTTCTCTCCTTTCGAGTTGAATCTTACTATCATGATCCTGCAAAAGTAGATTGGTTACCACTGCATGAGAGCCTTCGGTGCTCTTGAGGACATCATGATAGCCGCTCCAAAACCGAGTGTGCTCATTATTGTCGTGTTGTCTGGATGATAATATCGAAGTAGATTATCCACTTTCCGGATGACAGTTTGGAGAGTCCAATTCCATTCCATCTACTTTCGCAGATACCTAGGACTTCTATGCTATACCTTCCCATCTCTTTGGCAATCTAGGCAGCCTTGCTAGGTTTAAATATTGTTCGGACTTTCCATATCCCCATTCTTACTTTCGCTTTCATCAAGAGGAGAAACATCGGCCAATTGTCTTCTTGAAGGCTTTCACCAACTGGCGTCATTTCGCCTCTTCGATTCCAGCGAGGAACAAGTTGAATCATGTTTTTTATATTTACTTTGTGCCCTGAAGTATCTTTAGCAATTAGATTGATTTTACGGTGTAGGGTTGCTAGCCCTTTGCCCAACCTTCCCTCTTTATCTCGGCTTAGGACCGTCTAGTAACTAGTGAACTAGTTATCTAGGCGAGGTTAGTAGAACTGGAATTAGGGTGCTATCCAAACTTACAAACTCACTTACAAACAAGCTTTTTCGGTTTAAGGAATATATGGACTCAATTAGACACAATAATTTAACTCACCAAATACGTGTATTGAGCATGTGGTCACGTATATAGGTCGAACGGGTTAGTCAAATTAACAGAACATAGCAACGTAGCTAAGTCTAGATCGACAGACCCAAATAAGATGAATGACCTAGAGAAGAATTCAGTCACAGCTTAACATGCAACAACTCGTAACTACACAATAGGGTGGAAGAGAGCTGCGGTTCTGAAGGTTAATGTGGTTAAATAGAGAGGTTGATTACTGAATCTCTGTTCATCAATTCAACGCTTAACACATGTAGTCGAAATGACGCAACACTGATTTCGGATGTAGGAGAAATGTTACTGCCAATTTAATCAGAGAAGATGAAACAATAGAACTGACTACAAGAAACCAGACCAGAAAGTTGTGTGATTACCTTGATATGATTATGAGCAATAATTTCTGCTCATGAGGTCATCTAGTAAATAACACTACTTCACTGTACACTATATTAAATAGACTAATCTAATATAAAATTATATTCTGCCACAGTGCTCATATTTTATGCTTGCATCAATAAAACCCAGTAAATAGTCTACTCAACGCATCACTATATCTACATAATTGTTTATTTACCGTCTGAAAGACAAAAGGTTTATGAGGGGAATAAATCATAAAAGGCGATCATCATATCAGTCTTTATTGTGAAAATACATTTGACCTGTTGCAAATCGAATTTTTTAAGGGAAATTCTAAAGATTTATCATTTGGTCATTGTAAGCCGTGTACTCTTCCAATCATAAATACTACATTATTACTGCAAACCGGTGGTGTACTGATTCCGTCTTGGAAAGTCTTGATAACCCACCCTAGGGATACCAAAACGGCTTATTCCTTTTTCCACGAAAGATGAGTATTCTTAAACCACCTGCAATTAGTACGTACTAATAAAGTGTAAGTGAATTTTAGGAATAAAAGTGATTAGGAACGGGTGAATATTATAATTCAATCTCTCATATATGGATGACCGGTACTGAATGTCGAAAATGACAATCTAGAAACGTATAAAATCTTCATTTAGCAAAGAAAATTTTCTTATCCGAAAATTTCATTTTCTAAAGCTCAAACGAAGTTACTAACTTTTGATTCACAAACGGCAAATTACTATAAAACTCAAGATATATCAGACTTAGTTAGCCCCATTTGAACGGAGTGAACGCGTAAAGTAATTATCTGCAATTATCTATTCAAGAAGTCAACCATGAATCCGAAACAAGCAAACAAACAGATAAATATGACAACAAGAGTATCTTTGGTTCCAGGTACGACATTTCCCAACATCAGAGCAAAAGAAAGCAAAAGACATCAAAATTAATTAAATCCATATCAGTGAAAGGGATAAAATCAATTCAAAACAAAGTGTTCACAATTTATAATAAGACAGGTAGTAAACGCATCGACGCTAAATAGAAAATATAAAAATGATCGTCAAATTTAGACAGTTCCATGAATCAAACAAAAACTTTAACAAGTTTTATATGAGCCCAATCTAAAGATTAATACTGAAAGATGAAATTCAAGAGTCAGCGAAGCGAAAATATGTGGTAAAGTTTCTCACTCAACTAATCTCAAAAGAATCTCATTGGTAGTTTAACAGATACAAATGAAATACTCCTACCATGTTTCTAAACCTACATCTTAATTTCAACAAAGCTGGAACAAGAAACTTTGCAGAATACGATAACTTCATCGTATTTCGTCACCTTTAGGACTACTCGTAGGCTAGAAATATTTATGAGACTTACACAGAGAAATACGATCTACACGACTTAGTTATCAAGAGAATAATGGCTCAAATGATGAAAGATAATGAAAGAATCAATACAGATTAAGGAAGTTCAAATGAAATCAATCATTATTACTCAAATCAAAGTTATTGAAGGCTTATTAAATCAGATTGCCGTTTCGCTACATGTGAC